TCAGAGAAGGCCCCTAATCTAACATATACTGTAAGTGTTTATGATTCAGAGAAGGCCCCTAATCTAACATATACTGTATGTGTTTATGATTCAGAGAAGGCCCCTAATCTAACATATACTGTATGTGTTTATGATTCAGTGAAGGCCCCTAATCTAACATATAATGTATGTGTTTATGATTCAGAGAAGGCCCCTAATCTAACATATACTGTATGTGTTTATGATTCAGAGAAGGCCCCTAATCTAACATACAGTATACTGTATGTGTTAATGATTCAGTGAAGGCCCCTAATCTAACCCTCTGCTTCACTTTAACCCTCGTGCTTTCTTTGACACAGTGGTATATATATTTTTAAAGAAGTGCTTTTTCCTGTACTTGAGCAGCCCTGGGTCACTTCAGTCTAAACTACTTGAGAATTAGAATAGATAGAGTGATAGATACAGTAGATAGATAGATAGATACAGTAGATAGATAGATAGATGCATAGATACAGTAGATAGATAGATAGATACAGTAGATAGATAGATAGATACAGTAGATAGATAGATAGATACAGTAGATAGATAGATAAGTAGATACAGTAGATAGATAGATAGATACAGTAGATAGATAGATAAGTAGATACAGTAGATAGATAGATAGATAGATAGATACTTTATTGATCCCCGTAGGAGAAATTCAGGTGTCCAGTAAGTAGAGAAAAGTCAAATACGTCTTCTCTAATGAACTTGGCCTGCTCTGTGTGAGCTCCTCTGACGGAGGGACTCAATCTCGTGTATTTATTTACTTTTCAATAACATCAATGTCGGCGGCGTTTAGCTTCAAAGAGCAGAAGGATCCAGTTCATATCCCTCCTGTCGAGCACCGCGGCTCATCTCTCACTAAAGTCTAATTTATGGATTTAAGCAGAAATAGGAACATACTGTATCTTCAGACATTTTTGTCCCTGTTGGATCATATTTGTGTGGTTTGAGATGTTTCTTTATTATTACTAGCTTCTTTATTATGCTAAAGCTATAGATTTTATGCTAGCTTCTTTATTATGCTAAAGCTAGAGATTATATACTAGCTTCTTTATTATGCTAAGGCTTGAGATTTTATACTAGCTTCTTTATTATGCTAAAGCTAGAGATTTTATACTAGCTTCTTTATTATGCTAAAGTTAGAGATTTTATACTAGCTTCTTTATTATGCTAAAGCTAGAGATTTTATACTAGCTTCTTTATTATGCTAAAGTTAGAGATTTTATACTAGCTTCTTTATTATGCTAAAGCCAGAGATTTTATACTAGCTTCTTTATTATGCTAAAGTTAGAGATTTTAGACTAGCTTCTTTATTATGCTAAAGCTAGAGATTTTATACTAGCTTCTTCTACGAATAAAGAATCTCTTAAAGGTGAGGCCATCTACAGGAACTCCAACAGACAAATAATGTAGCTGTATTATTCTTTGGCTGACCGAACAGGACACGATGTTGCGGAAAACAAAATAATGTAATTTTTATTCAAAAGACCGCAGAATTTGGAAATAGTCTGAGCCTGATTTTTAGCCTTGCCCACTGCCCCCCCACAAAGCCCCGTGGAAAACCTCAGAGAAACACACTGGGAAAGCAAACACCGATGTACCCAATAATAAAACTAAACTCTTTAAAACATCTGTGTGGGCTGGGACGCACACGCACGCACACACACACACACGCACGCGCACACACACATGCACACACACGCACACACAGGACCACATGTCTGCCTCTCCTCATGCATCTGTTGTTTCCGACTCCCCGCCCACTCCTCTCGCCTCCTGTTTTTCACCTGCCCCACACGGAAACAGCACGTCCCGAAACATCAGCGCCGTGCGCGGAGGACCTGCCTGCGACTCCCAGACAGTAATAACACCGGAAAAATAAAATAGATTTTAAAAATGTATTCATAATGTGGGAGGAAACACATGGCGAGCAGGTGCACATCTCACCTGCGCAACAAATTAAAGTCAAGAATAATAGGAAAAGTTTGTCAGACCGTCGGAGGAGATTTTTAAACTGATTTTCGGCTATTTTCCTGGATTCATTGTTAATGTGGAGTGTGGTGAACAAGTTTGCAGGAGTCATAAGTGAAAGAAGCAGAACATTATAAGCAATTTTTATTTTTATTTTTGTGGAACTGTTCATAAACCTTATAAATACTACATCTGTCTCCGTTGCAGACAATGGGCCCATAACATGACAGTCAGTTGGTATGTGGCCAAACCTGCTGGTTAAAGTCAGATCTTGTCAGACCTCTGAAGCTAAGCAGGGCAGGTCCTGGTTAGTACTGAGATGGGAGACCTCTGGGAACACCAGGTGCCACAGTGTGGTGTCTGCGATTAAAAAGTGCCAAACTGTGGTTGTATCCTTAGGCAAGACACTTCACTCACAATGGAATGAGTCTGGTGTGTGTGTGAATGGTTGGTGGTGGTGGGAGGGGCTGATCATATGGACTGGTTTTCTCGCTTATATCAGTGTGCCCCAGGGCAGCCGTGGCTACAGTAGCTTATCACCACCGTGTATGGAGTGAAATAATAATGACATGTGACGTGTCTTAGAGTGTCCGTAAAAGTGCTGTATAAAAAGTATTGAAAAGATGTAGAGTTGTATCAATGCCTTTCCCTTGCAATGTGACATCACTTAGCACAAGATGAGTATGAGACGATCTATGCCATGGATGTGAAGCAAAAAAACGATATAATCTATATATTTAACATTAATATATTAAAATGCAAATCTCACTCTGCCTCGTGTTCGAGCACATGAAGTATTTCAGTTATTTTTGTTTAATGTGATTGTACCAAAGTGACCTGCTACATTACACCAGTTCTGACATGGGATAGTTGACTTTGTGTATTCATGTCATACACTGTAAATATTAATGGACGTAGTCACGCCTATCTTCGCCATTCTAACTAATGTGCCAAAACTTCCGCTGTCTATGGGCAGTTTCAAAATGGCCGCTGGGGCTGGAAAAAGTGGAAAAAGTGGAAAAATGCATCTGCGTCAGCTGCACGAGCCCCGTTCATTCAAACGAGTGACTTCAAAAGTCCACAGCGACTAAACAAGACTGGTCCAAAACACTCCCCTCAGCATTGACACACATGTGGAACAGAGCTTCCATCCTGTGAAAGGTGTTTTCGATCGGTCTGCCATTGCTATATGTTAGCATTGGCTAATTCTTATTCCGGGTCCACCCCCATCGGCCCGGGGTGGTATTGCAGCATGTCAGCGCACGTCATTTTGGACACTTTTGAGCTGGGACCCTCCCCCACTGATTTATCTATATACCGTAAATACTTCTGTTAGTAGTAATAGTCATGTTTAGTTTTATTTAGAAATGGATTTGAAATGTATGGTTTTACAGATTTGCTACTCCTTGATATTGTTAACGCTTTTAATTGATTTAAGAAACAAACTTCAGCCTCACTTTCAGTCTGTAAAAACAAGTCTTGCTGTGAATAATCTGCTCTGTCTGGTGCACACTGGGTCTGGTACAGTTATTCCAATGTGGTTTCACTGAAAATGGAAAATAAACTGAATCTCGAATAATTATTGAATCAAAAACTCTAGATATGGATCTGCTCTGAAGTAATATTGGACTGAGGTTTAAAAAAGCTCAAACACATGAGAGGGCTCCCTGAGGTGTCCGGCAGATGCAGGAGGAGGATCCAGGCTTTTATCCCGCTCCATTTGGACCAATGGTTTTTATGTGTTTGTTTTTCATTCAATTCAATTTATTTTAGGGCTTTACAAGAATACTTTGCAATGAAAAGAATTTATTTGTGTATCGTCCTAAATAACAACAGTAGTTTTCTCTGAGGACTTTACAAAGCTGTCAATTCGCCAACACAGATCAGAGAATCACACAGTTCAAACAAAGGAAATACACTGATGAAAACACAGCCATTGGTCCATGAGGAGCAGAGACCCCCAGGAACGTTGGTGAATGCCTATAACTGCACTTTATGACTCATTAGGACTCTGCAGACGTCATTGCTATACCAACCAACTCTGACTCTGAGGAGCACAGGGACTGGCCTCCTGTTGGGACTCTGAGGAGCACAGGGACTGGCCTCCTGCTGGGACTCTGAGGAGCACAGGGACTGGCCTCCTGTTGGGACTCTGAGGAGCACAGGGACTGGCCTCCTGCTGGGACTCTGAGGAGCACAGGGACTGGCCTCCCGCTGGGACTCTGAGGAGCACAGGGACTGGCCTCCTGCTGGGACTCTGAGGAGCACAGGGTCTGGTCTCCTGCTGGGACTCTGAGGAGCACAGGGACTGGCCTCCTGCTGGGACTCTGAGGAGCACAGGACTGGCCTCCTGCTGGGACTCTGAGGAGCACAGGAACTGGTTTCCTGCTGGGACTCTGAGGAGCACAGGGACTGGCCTCCTGCTGGGACTCTGAGGAGCACAGGGACTGGCCTCCTGCTGGGACTCTGAGGAGCACAGGGACTTGTCGCCTGCTGGGACTCTGACATCATAATATGCAAATTAGATTGGTACATTTATTTCCTGCTACACTTTGGGCCATCCTTATCATTTATCTAACTCAGCCATTCCCAAAGTCAGTAACACCGCGTCTGCACGGCCCCCCAAAATAATAACCAAAAAGACGTTAAAAACAGGCTCTTCTCGTTATTTTATTTGGGGAAATAAATGATCACAGCAAAATCCTTTACCATCAGAAACAAACATTTTAATATTACAAACAAATTATCAGTAATTTAACATACAATGAAGAACCTTTTTTTTATGACCTCTCGCGGCCCCCCTGCAATACCCTCGCGGACCACCAGGGGGCTGTGGATCCCACTTTGGGAGACACTGGTCTAATTTATATCAAGCCTCTATCATGTATAAGTTATGTCAACATTTCTAAGGAGAAAACCTCTGGCGCTTAAAGGGTTAAGAATTAAATCTCTTGGCCTCAAATCCAAACGTATCGTACCGTTCCAAAACCGTGCCGCCGTGCCCCTCATGACCCCCCACCCCCCCGACACCCCCTCCTGCCCCCCGTGCCCCCCCTGGTCGTCCGCAGGTGGTCAAACGTGCAGCGACGATGGAAACTGCGTCCTGAGTTTGCACAGCCTGTTTCTGATGTAACCATATGAACTGTCATTAGCTCGTCTCCGTCAGCCCCCCCCACACTGCCCCCCCCCCACCCCCCCCCCCCCCCCTTCGCTCCCACTCGCTGCCCTCTACCAGTGATCCCGTAGGTCCATTCACCGCACTCCAAACACCATAAAAACCGAGCCAGCTCCGGATTCCGCCGGAGCCAGCAGATGTTGTGTAAGGTCATATAAACGCAGACCGCTGTATCTCGTATTGTTGTTCGTCCAATGACCTTGAAGGAATCCTATAAACCCAAATGGAAGGGCAACAATGGCCGTGCTCGTAAAACACAAAAGTGAACTTGATCCTGTTGGGCAGAAAAGCTGAGAAACCTTTTTTTATTCTCTCCGTAGCACCTCTCTGGGGCGTCTGGAAGCTCCCCCACTTGGTTTTATGACGCCAGCTCAGTACCTTTGTCAGTATATGTACATTTATGAATCATTACAGATGCATGTCTATGTGTGTGTATCTATTTATGTATGATATACGTATATACACATGTATGTTTGTATTGCATCATTTTTATTCCTATAATGTTTTATCATTTGCCGATGTTTTTTTCTTGCCTGTTAAATTTGCAGTCGGGGATTTTTTCCAGACGCATTTTTTTAAATATTGTGGAAAACGTCCCTAAACCCTAAAAGTATCAAGTAATCATGTGTTTTCAAATAGTAATGGAATTGACCAGATGTTTATAGTCTCCACAAATTAGTAAAAAATATTTTGGAGTGGACCGGTAAAAATGAACCAATGGGATTCGTTCATCTCCAACGAACCAATGGGATGTGTTTACCGCCTAAATGGCTGATCAGAAAATGCCAATTTCACGTTTGCTTCACTCTCCCTGTTGTGACAAAGAAAAGGAAATGCCGGATGTTTGGTTTGGTGGAGAGGGAGGGGAGGGGGGAGGGGTGTCCAGTTGGTGCTAACGGCTAAGCTAACAACATCGCTAACTTCACCTTTATGCACCCTCGTTGCTTCCGTATGAATGGTGCTTTATAAATAAATTTGCCTTTCTCTTTCTTTTTTTGCGCTTCTACACACTAGGGTTTAATCCCGGGACACCGGATTCCCGGGAAATCTGATCAAAACTATTTCCCGATTCCCGGGAAATGTTATGACGGGTAACGGGAAATTAAAGTTTATAAAAAAAACAAGTGCGCTCCTATTATAGAGCACGTTTATTGTTGTTCAAAGTTCAAACATATTTCATTTACAATCCACATGTCTACAGCTGAGAGGATGGCTCATAAATTGTGTTTTTGACAACAAATATGGGTCTTAATCGCGCTAAACCACGACTTGTAATGAGGCCAGCCTCAGGGTACGGGGCACATGTGAGCCCAGAATTTGGCTACGTCCAATTCTATCAGAAAGCTCCTTTCTTTTTTTTCATCTGCTAAGGGCAGCAACAGGTTTGGCTAACATACATATAACACATTTTAAGATCATATAAAATGCATTTAGGGTAATGTTCTGCTTCCAATGACGATAAGAATGATAAGGAAGAGAGGAGAAGGGTAAGAAGGTTGATATTAGAAATTGGATGCGCCCGAGAGCCGGCTGCAGCGAAAACACAGAGGAGTTTATGGAGGTGGCACCAGTTTTGTTTTACGCTTTAAAACTCTTTGGGCTTATTTCCAAATGGGGGATTACATATCTGCGCTCAAACTATTATCTGGACTTAAACACGGAACTGGTCTGAACTGAAGTGGTCTGTGCTGTTCATTAATAACTAAGGTAAGACCCATAACACAATTGGAAATGTGCCTTTTACGAACGTTTGCGTTTTGTTTGAGCAAACAATGCGGGCCATGGAAAACATTCTGCTGTAGCCAAACTAATTGTGAATAAGCCGTTCTGTAGGTTCTGTTGATTTATATGATATATGTTCATCTGACAGGGCTGAAGTCAGTGCCTCCAAACAACACCGCACGTCACTGGTCGACAAGTGGATTGCGCAGACATTTAGAATCTCATAATAGTGAAATTCCTGAAGAAAGCCCATCAACAAAACGTCTGAAAACGCTATGGCTACTTTAGAAAAGCTAGCAAGTCGCTTGGTGAAACACTAGTGGAGATGGCAGCTTTTGTTGGATTATATATTTGAGTGATATCATACATTACTTGGGCTAAAAACAACAACTACAAACAACAGCTATTTCCCGGAAAAGGCGTCGTCTTTTCCCGGGATTTAATACGTCTCATTTTTGGGAAAAATATTAAACCCTACTACACACTGCGTTTACAAGCAAATATCAGTTTTTTCTACGTTGTGGTTTTGCTGTCATTAAGAAAGATGGATAGATAGATAGATAGAGATAGACAGAGATAGACAGAGAGAGAGAGAGATACATACACACATATATACATAGATAGTTAGATAGATAGACAACAACACACTGGAAACAGACAACATTAAACTGTAGATAAGATTTAAAAACTTTTCCACTGATGCAGACTGTGTACATGTATTTTAGACCGAGCTGTAGTAAGAGAGAAACAGACAAAAGCATCAGAGAAGTGTTGTCGCTGCAGGAGGGAGACAATAATCTAAAAAACATGTTATCAGAGGAAGTGCTTTGTCAATGACTGCAATTTACTTTTAAGAGATTTCCAACCGCTGTTTTTGCATCGTTCCTTCATCACAAACAGACCCGGAATTTGTTTTGGAAAAATCTATTATTGTTTGACTGTGTTTGCAGCCGGTTATTTTTGAATTGGGTGAAAAAACATAACAGATTAAATTCCCTCTGGTGGTTGCATATAAGTGTTGAAAATGAATCAGACGGGATCTTTGCACATCAGACAAACCCGGAAGTTTTATTCTCAGCTTGATAGTTTTTTTCAGACAGAATGACAACAGCAAAAACATTATATTCTGCAATTTGCGTCATATCGGAATGTTTAATTAGTGCAAATAATGAAAACACAACTGGAGTCCTCGAGACCGACACGGGACCAAATCATTTGTATATTTTGTTTTGCGTTTTGTCCAGGCCATTGTTAGACTTAGACTCAGACTTATTAGACAGACTTTGTTGATCCACAAGGGAAATTGCGTTGTCACAGTAGCTCGCATAGTATTCCACAATGAAAATAACAATAAAGTGACAATCTGAAAAAAATAATATTGTGGGAATAGAATAATATAGAATAATAGGATGTAGGTGCTCAGGAATAAACATATCTGTGAATATTTTCATTATCACAGACACAGACAATAGGACACTACACATTTGTTAATACACAATATATACAGAGACAAAGCAGATATATACAACCGAAGTTACAACCCGAAGCCAGTTTTACCGTCATACTTGTTTCACCACTGAAAAGCAGTTGGTAACCAGCTTAAAAGGAGCATTACCGCCTCCTACTGTTCCGGAGCGGCACTCGACCAGGAGGGGGTCGGACTCGTTCTGGTCAGGGGCCAAAATCAAAAACTTAAAGAGCTGGTTGGGGCCAAAGTGTCTTGACATGAGTTTGACATTCAACCACAACTGGGCTGCACAGTAAATGTATTGCCAAACCAGAGCTTGTCAGACCTGTGAAGCTAAGCAGGGCAGGGCCTGGTTAGTTCTGTGATGGGAGACCTCTGGGAACACCAAGTGCCACAGTGGGGCGGCTACGGCTGTGTCCTTAGGCAAGACACTTCACCCACGTTGGAATGGGTCTGGTGTGTGTGTGTCTGTGTGTGTGTGTGTGTGTGTGAAAGGTTGGTGGTGGTGCCTACAGTAGAAATGTGTCTGAACGTCATGACAAAAAATAACAATTGTAAAGCACTTTGAGACTCTGGTCTGAGAAAGGCACTGTATCAATAATGTTTACTTACTTTACTGACTTTATGTGAAGCGTCTTTGAGAGTCCATACAAAGCCCTGGATAAAACTGATGCATTATTAGCACTGATACTGATTGGTCTGTAACGCTAAGTCAAAGTTGTACTCATTCTGACCGGTTGCTTCTTCCTGAGGTGTTCAAAACTGGAAAACACCTCCAGCTCCAGCCGTTTTTCAACAGATATTTGACAGAAAGACATTATCCTCAAATGTGACGTTCTTGAGCGCTGCCAGCTGTAATCGATGACAGATGTTGCCGTTGTTTACCCGCTTTGTCCAACGTCATTTATGCGAGATTGAGACGCCTGACGGGTCACAGCCTGTCAAGTTCCCCACCAGGACTTTCCCAGCACGGCCTCGGACTCACAACTGTCTCACCGTCAGTGGGGCCTCTTTGTTCTCTGCAGGATATTCCTCTTTAGCCAGACTCATAAGCCACTGTGACAGATACTGGCAGAGGCAGAGGTAGAGCCAGAGGTAGAGCCAGAGGTAGAGCCAGAGACAGAGAGACAGAGCCAGAGACAGACAGAAACAGAGACAGAGACAGACAGAGGCAGAGACAGAGACAGAGGCAGAGACAGAGACAGAGACAGACAGAGGCAGAGACAGAGACAGACAGAAACAGAGACAGGCAGAGGCAGAGGCAGAGACAGAGACAGAGACAGAGACAGAGGCAGAGGCAGAGACAGAGACAGAGACAGAGACAGAGACAGAGACAGAGGCAGAGGCAGAGGCAGAGGCAGAGACAGAGACAGAGACAGAGACAGACAGAAACAGAGACAGGCAGAGGCAGAGGCAGAGACAGAGACAGAGACAGAGGCAGAGGCAGAGACAGAGACAGAGACAGAGACAGAGACAGAGGCAGAGGCAGAGGCAGAGGCAGAGACAGAGACAGAGACAGAGACAGAGACAGAGGCAGAGGCCGAAGCAGAGGCAGAGACAGAGACACAGCATGTTTGTGAGGCCACAGAGAAGGACTGAAGTCTCTGGATCACGATTTAGCACCGTCTTTTTTCAGTCTTACAAACCCCAGAGAATAAGATAATAGACAACTTCCACAAAACGGACATTTATGCAAGTGAATTACATTTTATATTATCTTATTTATTGATTATTTGATAGGGACTAGCGTACACAACCAATGTGTGAAACTCTACATTTATAGCCAAGGCTTAAGGCCTGTGTACACTTGCGCGCCGCTGCTTACGGTTGCGATACGTTGGACCTACGTAACCACAGTTTGTGGTACACTTGCGCATTCTCCGAATGTTGTAATCCCACAACCAACCACATGATGGCGAACTCACAGGAGTTGCCTAACCCAAGCGGTCCCATTTGTGCTGCTACTTTCTCCTCTTCAAAACAAAAACAACAGTGAAGCTGTTTGAGATCATTACATGTGTTTCTACTGTAGGTTTATGTGACAGTTCTAAACTCATCGTTTCAACTCATTTAACTGTGATGCTGTGAATAAAGACACAGTTCTTGTTGGAAACAGTTATTATTAAAGTGTATTCAGCACAAACAGCAAAACAATAAGTGGTAAATATCTGAGACAAACATGAACTATTTACAAGTGCAGGAGGAATGCAACAGACGCGATAAACTACGATTCATAAAGGACAGGAACAGTGCAAAACAAACAGTTCATAAGTTATATATATGTTAGATATAAGTTATATATACTGTATGTTAGATATAAGTTATATATATGTTAGATATAAGTTATATATACTGTATGTTAGATATAAGTTATATATATCCATCCATCCATCCATCCATTTTCTTCCGCTTCATCCGTTGCCGGGTCGCGGGGGCAGCAGTCTAAGCAGAGACGCCCAGACTTCCCTATCCACACACACTTCCTCTAGCTCGTCTGGGGGGACTCCAAGGCGTTCCCAGGCCAGCTGAGAGACATAGTCCCTCCAGCGTGTCCTGGGTCTTCCCCGGGGCCTCCTCCCGGTGGGACGTGCCCGGAACACCTCCCCAGGGAGGCGTCCAGGAGGCATCCGGAACAGATGCCCGAGCCACCTCAACTGGTTCCTCTCGACGTGGAGTAGCAGCGGCTCTACTCCGAGCTCCTCCCGTGTGACTGAGCTCCTCACCCTATCTCTAAGGGAGCGCCCAGCCACTCTGCGGAGGAAGCTCATTTCGACCGCTTGTATCCGCGATCTTGTTCTTTCGGTCATTACCCAAAGCTCATGACCATAGGTGAGGGAGGGAACGAAGATTGACCGGTAAATTGAGAGCTTTGCCTTTCGGCTCAGCTCCCTCTTCACCACAACGGTCCGATACAGCGACCGCATCACTGCGCACGCTGCACCGATCCGCCTGTCAATCTCACGCTCCATCCTTCCCTCACTCGTGAACAAGACCCCGAGATACTTGAACTCCTCCACTTGAGGAAGGGCCTCTCCACCCACCTGAAGAGGGCAAGGCACCTTTTTCCGGTCGAGCACCATGGCCTCAGATTTGGAGGTGCTGATTCTCAAGTTATATATATGTTAGATATAAGTTATATATATGTTAGATATAAGTTATATATATGTTAGAGATAAGTTATATATATGTTAGATATAAGTTATATATATGTTAGATATAAGTTATATATATGTTAGATATGCAACAGAACTCTAGTCCACAGTCTCCCGTATATCAGGCTCTGAGCCCAAACTGCTTTTCCTTCGGTTCCTTCGAAGCGTGAAGCAGTCTGCTCCGAGTGCCTCGTCCATGTTCCTGCAGCCGCTTAATGCTTGCCAGAAAGCAATCACACACGGACCAATCACAGCGGAGCTTCCTTGCGGCAACCCTTACGTAGTTCAAAATTTCTGAGGGTGCACGCGGCGACATAAGGGCCTTGCAATAATCCACGCGTTGCGCAAGTGACGTCACGTCACCACCGTAAGGTCTGCGCCGCACGACTATACACTAGGCTTAATTTGCCAAGTCCATCCCTATAAGTTCTTTTCACACAAGTACGAACACATTTTACATTATTATATTCACATTCAACAAAAGCAGGTGTCCTTAATGTTCGCACAACTGGTATGTTTAAAAACCTTCAGTTCAATTTTAAAACCAGCCCAATCAGAGCTCAGTATTAGCTGAATGTCTGGACAGTGTTTATCTCGCTCCCTAAGGACCAATGGCTCCTTTGTGTTTGTTATTATTGCCTTTCCTGTGCTCTGTGTGATTCTCTGATCTGTTGTTTCTCTGATCTGTTGTTGGCCTAAGAGACTTTATTGTTATAATTTAGGGGCTATACATTTAAATTGAATAGCATTAACATATATTTTTTTTTAATAGAAGGCGCTGTACGGTATATACTTTGGATTTGAGCAGAGGAAATGGTCTGAACCAAACGGGTGCTCCACCTTTTGACCTGTCCTGCTCCACCCAGAGACTACTCCACCTCTGCTGCAGTGACCCGTCCTGCTCCACCCAGAGGCTACTCCACCTCTGCTGCTGTGACCCATCCTGCTCCGCCCAGAGGCTACTCCACCTCTGCTGCAGTGACCCGTCCTGCTCCACCCAGAGGCTACTCCACCTCTGCTGCTGTGACCCGTCCTGCTCCACCCAGAGGCTACTCCACCTCTGCTGCTGTGACCCGTCCTGCTCCACCCAGAGGCTACTCCACCTCTGCTGCTGTGACCTGTCCTGCTCCACCCAGAGGCTACTCCACCTCTGCTGCTGTGACCCGTCCTGCTCCACCCAGAGGCTACTCCACCTCTGCTGCTGTGACCCGTCCTGCTCCACCCAGAGGCTACTCCACCTCTGCTGCTGTGACTCGTCCTGCTCCACCCAGAGGCTACTCCACCTCTGCTGCTGTGACCCGTCCTGCTCCACCCAGAGGCTACTCCACCTCTGCTGCTGTGACCCGTCCTGCTCCACCCAGAGGCTACTCCACCTCTGCTGCTGTGACCTGTCCTGCTCCACCCAGAGGCTACTCCACCTCTGCTGCTGTGACCCGTCCTGCTCCACCCAGAGGCTACTCCACCTCTGCTGCTGTGACCCGTCCTGCTCCACCCAGAGGCTACTCCACCTCTGCTGCTGTGACTCGTCCTGCTCCACCCAGAGGCTACTCCACCTCTGCTGCTGTGACCCGTCCTGCTCCACCCAGAGGCTACTCCACCTCTGCTGCTGTGACCCGTCCTGCTCCACCCAGAGGCTACTCCACCTCTGCTGCTGTGACCTGTCCTGCTCCACCCAGAGGCTACTCCACCTCTGCTGCTGTGACCCGTCCTGCTCCACCCAGAGGCTACTCCACCTCTGCTGCTGTGACCTGTCCTGCTCCACCCAGAGGCTACTCCACCTCTGCTGCTCTGACCTGAAGGGCTGTTGCTGATTATTACTATTGATAGATTTTTAGAATGATCTATTATATTTTATTTTTTTGCTGCTACTGGACACCTGAATTTCTCAGACGGGGATCAATAACGTGTCCGTCTGTATAAGCTGCACCACCTGAATTTAATAAAGAAAATAAATTCTGTCAACGTTAGCTTCCAGGACTCATTCACTGTTAGCTTCCAGGACTCATTCACCGTTAGCTTCCAAGACTCTTTCACCAGTCTTTTTTGAACAAGTGTCCTGTAGCTACTAAAACATGAAAAGTCTGATCGGGAAGTTTGTCTTTGGTGTTTGACTCTTGACAACCTACAACAGAGCCTGGAGTCTGGATTTGCCAACACAGATCAGAGAATCAAACACACAGAGCCATAGGTCCATTAGAGGCAGAGACCAATGTCTTTAAATGTTATAAATGATAAGAAAAATAAAAGGAACACACATTGAAACGTAAATTCTTCAGTGTATACTCAGTCTGCACATGTTACAGTGATTTTACCTACACGCTTTTTAATGTACTGTGATTATTATGAATGAATGCCTTGTGTGACTGTCAATCTTCTGCACTTTGAATTACCTTGTGTATGATGTGTGCAATACAAATAAACTTGCCTTGCCTTGTGCTGCTGTGTGACCCGGTGAGACACTTTATAAAACCCAGAGTAACTTCCCCACGATGCGTCACTGGCTTAATGGACCGTTTTCTGAAACCCGATCTGTCTTCGAGAGGGCAGCCCTGTGAAAACACTGTCACTGCCACAACCTGCAGCTCCACGGACGCAGACCTCATGCTGAGAACCCGTCGCCAGCGTTTGGACCCGATACCATCAACCTGCACGGAACGCGGTGCTAAAGACTTTTGTTTTATCTGGAGCTAGCGCGGCATTAGCCTCACAGCACGTCTCCAAGAAAAATGCCACAGCGGCGAGGAGTGAAAGTGAAAACACAAGAGTTGATGAATACGATGTTTAGCTTGTCGCGCCTGGTTAGCTAGCAAACATCGCAGAGAGGCGTTTTAAGTGCTGTTTGGACATTTACCCGGACGCATGTTTTTGGTTGGACATTTTCACAAGGCAAGGACAACAATAAGGTGGAATATTTCAGTATTTTTCCCCACCGGGCAGACGTTGAGGTACCATAGGGGGATTTTCACTAGTGGAACTTTGGATGTGGGCGGGGCTTAAGGTTTCAGGAAGTGGTTAAACCTGCAGGTGAAAGCCAGATCCCGTCAGACTTATGAAACTAAGCATGGCAAGGCTGTAAAGTGCCGAGCTGTGGTTGTGTCCTACGTCAAGACACTTCATCCACATTAGAATGAGAACGCTTGGTGGCGGTAGGAAGGGCTCATGGCACAGACTGGTTGCCTCGCTTCTGTCAGTGTACATATAGTGCCATATAGTGGTTTATCACCACTATATGGAGTGAAAGAACAATGACATGTAAAAAAACTGTATTAAACCGGTGTATTATAATGATTATTGTGGCGACGTAAAACATGAGTTATACACAAAATCTAAATTTTTACCTCCAGATTTGACTACTGCAATAGCCTCCTAGGTCTCCCTTCCACACATCTCCAAAAACTACGATACATCCAGAACTCTGCCAACCCTCCTGCTCACCCACACCAGTGGACCACATCTCCCCTGTCCTCAAACAACCCTGAGGACCGAGCCTTCTGAACCCTGAGGACCGAGCCTTCTGAACCATGAGGACCGAGTCTTCTGAACCCTGAGGACCGAGCCTTCTGAACCCTGAGGACCGAGTCTTATGAACCCTGAGGACCGAGCCTTCTGAACCCTGAGGACCGAGTCTTCTGAACCCTGAGGACCGAGTCTTCTGAACCCTGAGGACCAAGCCTTCTGAACCCTGAGGACCGAGTCTTCTGAACCCTGAGGACCGAGTCTTCTGAACCCTGAGGACCGAGCCTTCTGAACCCTGAGGACCGAGTCTTCTGAACCCTGAGGGCCGAGTCTTCTGAACCCTGAGGACCGAGTCTTCTGAACACTGAGGACCGAGTCTTCTGAACACTGAGGACCGAGTCTTCTGAACCACTAAACCCATAGACATCCAACTTTTTGTCATAAGTTAATGTTTGTTGAAATACACTTGTGTTACTGTTATTGCAGACGGAACATTTGCAGGTGAAAAAGTGGGCAGCCCTATTGGCCCATCGCAGCTGTCAGTCTCTCTCTCTCTCTCAGTCTCTCTCTGTCTCTCTCTCTCAGCCTTTCTCAGTCTCTCTCTCCCACAGTCTACATTGGCACAAAGAGAACAGTCTTATGTTCCTCATTTGACACTTTTAACCACAAGAACTGACATTATTGGACAGGAGATAATTACTGTGTTTTCTTTTGGGAATTTTGGATGAACCTACACGATGTACTATTGATTTATTCACGTCTACACAGATTTGAGTGTTGAAAAATGCTGATTTTCTGGTTTACCACAGCCCCTTGTAGCTGTGTGACTAAACAGTGAAAGCAAATGTATTTATTTTCAACTTGGAAAATGTGTTTTATATGTATTTACTTTTATATTATTCTGGCCCACTGATTTATCATGACAATAAACATATTTTGGAAACTTTTAGAAGCGCCAACCCGAGATAATGTCATCAAAAGTTATAACCAAAGATGGACGAGACAGAGAGTGAGGGGGCTTCCATGTTGTGGCAGCCGTCGGGCCCGCCAAGAGAATCTTTCATGTTCCCTTGTCAAGCCGATCCCAGAAAAGTCCTTCTTCACAAGGATCAGGGGAGAGCAGGGGACCAGGCACAGAGAGCGACCCCTGACCCCTGACTTTTAGATCCAGATTTTGGAATTATCAATGACTCTTCTGGACCCTGGAAAAGCTTTGTTCCAGCTTCTTCCCCGTCGCGGAAGATATTGTTCATAAAGGACCGTGGTGATGATCCAGGACGCTCAACATTCGACCATATGTACAGACATTTATGGACATTTTTGGACATTGGTCTCTGGTATTTATGGACCAATTGCTTTGTGTGTTTTTTATCATTGCATTTCTTGTGTTTTAATTGATTCTCAGATCCGTGATGGCAAATTCAACAGCTTCTATAGGGCCTCCATGATAATTACGATTATTAGTTAGGGCTTTACAAATAAGAAATGTGGTTGTGCAAACAGCTTCTTTCCATAAGACGTTTTCAGTCTGAACAAAGCACTTTTTATTTCACGATGACAATAGTTTCTTTGCTTTATTTTAGCTTGTTTTAATCCTGTACTTGTCGGTGCACACTGAGGACTTTTACACACGTATTCCAATGTGTTTTTTTTTTACTGCAAATGGGAGATGAATCAAACAAAATGTATCCGACCTCTGACCCCTGCCCCTAGCACACTCCCAGAGCCTGCAGAAGCTAGACCACGGAATAACGCGCTGGTTGTGTCAGATTTGCAGCCGACGGGGCGTCACATTAGCAGCCTGGCTCTTTGAAAACACGGAATCTTAAAACATAAATCCCTTGAAATAAATAATGTCAAGAAGTTTAGTCTCTCGTTTATATTGCTGTTTTAAATCACCGTAAAAGTTGTTGATAATAAAAACACAATAATCACCATTGCCACGGGCTACACTGTAACTGTCGCAGAGGTCTTTGATGAAGGCTCATTTGTAACTTTACGGTGAGGATGGAGAAATGCGCCGGTGCTAACGAGGGCCCTGTCCATTACTGTCATTTACAGTGCTGATACATGAGGTTAACTGTGCGCTGGATGTAAAACGTCTTAATTAAATGGCCTTCAAAGACCTCTTGATTGATTTGCAGCAATATGGCCGCCTTTCGTTTCGCCAAACTCCCCCCCCCTTGTATTTCCTAATGGTTTGGTCAGGATTTATCACATGCTGTAAGCGGGGAGGGGGCGGTGTTTGGCAGAGCTCTCTCGTTCTGGGTCCTTCACCTCCAGGGTCAGGCCCGATGCCCTGTCATCGGAGTCGCTCTCAGTCACTTTGTCCACCGGCCTCACCAAACCATGTGTGCACACTCAGGCTCTCTGGGAGTCTGAGTGTGCAGGGAGTTAGACAGACATGTGTTGGTGAGTCTACAAAAACAACAATAACAATTCAATATATCGTTACTGGCATTGAAAAACAAGCCATTATCATAGATAGATAGATACTGTGTGGTTCTGTGACATCACAGCTAAAGGAAGCAGAGCTCTCGACATCACTCTGGGAAAGGACTGTGAGCTGAGGGACCAGAGAGAGAAGAGAGAGACTAAAGAAAGACCATAGAGAGACTAGGGAAAGACCATGGAGAGACCAGAGAGAGACGAGGGAGGGACTAGGGAGAGACTAGAGAGACTATGGAATGAACAGAGAGAGACAAAAGAGAGCCTGGAGAGACACCAGAGGGACAAGAGAGAGATTAGGGAGGAACTAGAGAGGGATCAGAGAGAGACCAGAGAGAGAGATCAGAGGGAGAAACCAGAGAGAGAGACTAGAAAGTGATCGGAGAGAGACCAGAGAGAGACTAGAAAAAAGAGAGGGACTAGAACTAGGACTTTGATCCGATCTGTTCTGGAAGTTCTTTATGAATACAGACTCTTAAATGTAGCTCTTAGAATAATCCATGATTCTTCTGGCTCTTGGAAAACCCATGTTCCAGCTTCTTCCCTCTGGCAGAAGATATCGCTGGCTGAGATGCGGGACATCTGCATATGCTAACATGCTAACAGCTTCTTTTTTGTTTCTATCCATGTATTTGTCTTTTGTATGCATTCCAATGTTGTTTTACTGCAGATGGCTAATAACTGAATCTAAAAACTGCATACAGGTGAAAACTGGTGAGGAAACGTCTGAGAGAGATTTGATTGCAGCCTGTGATGAGTTTGTGTTTGCTGCATTGTGATGACGTACTGTTGTCATATCCTAGGATCTCAGTGTTTAAATGTACAACGTACTTTACAATCTTTCACTGGCTCCATAGAGTTGACATTATAACAAATGCACAGAAGACTCGTTGAATAAGTAACACACAAACCCTGTCAGAGCCGAATGTAAAGCTTCAGGAAATCTACAATTGGCACGTGTGAGTGAGAACAAGGTCTCAGCCGCCATGATGTCACAGGCCCGGTGCACACGTTGGTGAGATTTCGGCCTTCTTCCTTCTATCATTCTTCTTCCTGCTTCCTACTGTCTCCATAATTGTGCTTTTGGACTATCTTTCAGTGTACAGTGTGTGGCAAGAGCAGGAAATGACCAGCGCTGAACCTTTTCCACTGGACGCACGTGCGGAAACCAATCAGAGAGCAGCAAAGTGGTCACGGGTCAGAACAAGAAGACAAAAACAATCGGAACCAGGACTAAACCATGATTAAACCAGGACTGACAATGGGGGACACAGCGCTTGTGAACATATGTCTTCACCCTGAGTTGGTATTCTACTGTGACGGAAAATAAGGGCTGCTAACGTGTTTGCCGATGCGGAGGTACAGGTTAATAATATAATTGAACCATGATGCAGCTCAGTGACTGCTGTTATGACGTCTCTGGAGGATCTCAGACGCAGAAGAGAAGAAGGTCCTTTATTTGTCCCACAGCGGGTATAATTCAGTTTGATGAGTACGCAGATACACTTCAAGGCATGCAGCAAACAATACTTGCTGCGCTCCTTATTGGCAAAGTGGGGTTAAGTGTCTTGCTCAAGGACGCAACGACAGCAGACATCAGTGGGAGTCGGTGGAGAAGGTCACATGATGGGCTCAAACCCATAACATTCAGGCTCAAAGGCCAATGCTCTACCCACTGAGCCACTGTCACTAGCTTAAACCCGCTAGCCTCAAAGCCATTTCCGCCCTGTGTTTTGGGGCATCACAGCGGTACATCAGATTTTGTAAAATCATGCCTCTGAAATGTAGTGTAGCCCCCTAAAGCAGGACAGAACCGAGACTGAAGTAACCTGGCCTTATTCATCCGTACACTCCGCTCAATCATCACTTCCAGCATGTAACGTTGGGGTCTAGTCCCAGTATCTGCAGTTACATTGGTTGAATCCCATCCGACCAATCGGTGAGCGCGCAAGGCGGGTGTTGTAGTTAGATGTGGGTGACGTCAAGAGTTTGCCCCGAACGGGCAGGTTGTAGTTTGGCGAAGAATGCGATAGTAAAGTAATCCGGTCTGGTTCTATCAAGAAACTGAAGCAGGAGCAAGAGGAATGTTTAGCAAATGTAATCGCTGCAAAGATTGTGGCGCTACTCCCCACGGGCTCCGTTAGCGGAAAAGGAGATGGCTAAAGCTAGGGCGCGTTACATACATCACGGTAAACTCAGATACAATCGTTTCAAAAGGAGTTAGCCCCTCCCACCTGTTAACAGAGTCAATGGAGCAAATCCAGACCTTAGTACGACATGTGATTTGTACTATGGTGTGGTACGACCAGGCTAGGCCATCGCAGCAGATTTCGTAAACTGACGCTTCTGAAATGTATACGTGCGTCCGGTGCGTTGATGTGTCAGCGGTCTGAGCGTCGTTAAAGCAGGTTTGAACCAGGACTGGAGCAGGATGAAAAACTAAACCAACCTTCTTCATAATGACAATAATAAAACAGTGACTTTGCGGGTGTCTTTCTGCGGCTGTAGTCTCTCCCGGTCCGGCCCGTCTCCTCAAACCCCATGTCTGTGTGTGTTTTGGAGCCTGGACTTGGGCCGAGCTGGATTTACACCCTCAGGAAAGATAAGGGGACATTTTTACGGCATTAGCACCGTTTAAAAGCTGCATTTGGAGAAGCACAGTTTTTGGAGCGAAAGCCGAGCTGGAAAATTGCTCTAACGCGACTCAAATCAGGGCCGTAACTTTTTAAGGTCCCAGCGCTTTTTAGGCAGCGCCTCATTCACCGACTTAATTATGGCGCCGTTAAAATCTTGATTTCAAGCCAGATTTTTTGTTGCTTTCTTAAAATATATGTTCATTTTAACATTAATGGTTGGCGTGAACATGGAGACTTTGTAAACAGCATTGGAACAAATAATAATCATTAAAAACCTGTCCTTCTTCTTCATGGCCTTGATTAGCATCCAACAAACAAAAGGAGATTAGCATTAGCATACTCTAATTAGCACTGAATCAGCTGGTAATTAATCAGGGCTAATCTAAAGTGTTCCCCAAAATATAAATAAAACCCCTCTGGAAATCTGAATAAACATAGACAGATACTCAGAGGCTCTCACGTCTAAGCGAGAAGGTCCTGGGTTTGAATCCCAGTCGGAACAGGGTGGTGTTTGCTTGTTCTCCTCGTGTCCGTGTAGGTTTCCTCGGGGTGCTCCTGTTTCCCCTACCACTAAAAAACATTGACAATAGATAAATCCTCCTGCTCCTGTTCTGGCCCCTTTGGCTTCTCCTCCTGCTCCTCCAGCTGCTCCTACTCTTCCTGTTCCCGCTCCCCCTCCTTCTGTTCCTACTCCTCATCCTTCTCCTCTTGCTCCTCCTGCTCATTTGGCTCCTGCTCCTCCTTCTCTTGCTCCTCCTGCTCCTTTGGCTCCTCCAGCCCTTTTGTCTCCTGCTCCTCCTCCTCCTGCTACTCCTTCTCCTCTTCCTCCAGCCCCTTTGTCACCTGCTCCTCCTTCTCCTTTGGCTCCTCCAGCCCCTTTATCTCCTGCTGCGCCTGCTCCTCCTTCTCCTCCTGCTCCTCCTTTTCCTCTTCCTCCTCCTCCTCTTGCTCCTCCTCCAGCCCCTTTGTCACCTGCTCCTTCTCCTCCTCCTGCTCCTCCAGCTGCTCCTACTCTTCTTGTTCCCGCTCCCCCTCCTTCTGTTCCTACTCCTCATCCTTCTCCTCTTGCTCCTCCTGCTCATTTGGCTCCTCCAGTCCCTTTGTCTCCTGCTCCTCCTTCTCTTGCTCCTCCTGCTCCTTTGGCTCCTCCAGCCCTTTTGTCTCCTGCTGCTCCTCCTCCTGCTACTCCTTCTCCTCTTCCCCCAGCCCCTTTGTCACCTGCTCCTCCTTCTCCTTTGGCTCCTCCAGCCCCTTTATCTCCTGCTGCTCCTGCTCCTCCTTCTGCTCCTCCTCCTGCTCCTCCGTCTCCTCTTCCTCCTCCTCCTCTTGCTCCTCCTCCAGCCCCTTTGTCACCTGCTCCTGCTCCTCCTCCTGCTCCTTCTCCACCTGCTCCTCCTCCTCCTCCTCCTGCTCCCTCAGCCCCTTTCTCACCTGCTTTTCCTGCTCTTCCTCCTCCTTCTTTTTCTCCTCCTCCTCTTCCTCCCCCTGCTCCTCTTGCTCCTCCTGCTCCTCCTGGGTGTCAGTGGGTAGACCCAGGCTGACACAGGGGTCTCTGTGCAGGACTACAGTGGTGTGTTGTGGCTGGAACAGGAGGCCCCTGTCCTGGAGCGAGGCCTGTGTGTGTCCTTTACCTGCTCACGCTACATTTAGAAACAACAGCAGAAAAAACCTCCAGATCCACTCACTTTGGAGAGTCTGAAAACAGCTCAGAGACGACCGGGAGAGCCAACGCAACAAGTGCACGCTACACACTCCACACTCAGTCTACACACTCCACACTCAGTCTACACACTCCACACTCAGTCTACACACTCCACACTCAGTCTACACATTCATATTCAGTCTACACACTCCACACTCAGTCTACACAATCACATTCAGTCTACACACTCCACACTCAGTCTACACAATCACATTCAGTCTACACACTCCACACTCAGTCTACACGATCACATTCAGTCTACACTAGACAATCACATTCAGTCTACACACTCCACACTCAGTCTACACAATCACATTCAGTCTACACACTCCACACTCAGTCTACACGATCACATTCAGTCTACACACTCCACACTCAGTATACACAATCACATTCAGTCTACACTACACAATCACATTCAGTCTACACACTCCACACTCAGTCTACACAATCACATTCAGTCTACACAATCACACTCAGTATACACAATCACACTCAGTCTATACAATCACACTCAGTCTAAACTACACAATCACATTCAGTCTACACAATCACACTCAGTCTACACAATCACACTCAGTCTATACAATCACACTCAGTCTACACTACACAATCACATTCAGTCTACACAATCACACTCAGTCTACACTACACAATCACACTCAGTCTACACACTCCACACTCGGTCTACACAATCAACCTCAGTCTACACACTCCACACTCAGTCTACACTACACAATCACACTCAGTCTACACACTCCACACTCAGTCTACACAATCACATTCAGTCTACACACTCCACACTCAGTCTACACAATCACACTCAGTCTACACAATCACTCCCCCCTGGACTGCCACCTTAACGTGGTGGGGGAGTTTGAGTACTCGGATGATCCTGGGAGCTATGCTGTCTGGGGCTTCATGCCCCTGGTAGGGCCTCCCATGGCAGACAGGTCTCGGGTGATGAGTCAGACAAAGAGCAGTCCAGAAGACACCATGGACAGCACTCATACGAAACCAGTGACGTCGCCCGGCATGGCGCAGCCGGGGCCCCACCCTGGAGCCAGGCCTGGGGTCGGGGCTCGTAGGCGAGCGCCTGGTGGCCGGGCCTTAGCCCACGGGGCCCGGCCGGGCTCAGCCCGATGACGACGTGGGCAGTCCCTCCTGTGGGCCCACCACCTGCAGAGGGGTCCGTGGTGGCATGGTGCAGAGAGGACTGGGCAGCAGTCGAAGGCGGAGACCTCGGCGACCCAGTCCGCACACACAACATCTGGCTCTCGGGACGTGGAACGTCACCTCACTGGGGGGGAAGGAGCCCGAGCTTGTGGGGGAGGTTGAGCGATACCGACTAGAGATAGTCGGCCTCACCTCCACACACAGCTTGGGCTCTGGAACCCAACTCCTTGAGAGGGGTTGGACGCTCCACTTTTCTGGTGTTTCCCGCGGGGAGAGGCGGCGAGCTGGGGTGGCCATTCTCATTGCCCCCCATCTCAGCCGCCACGTGTTGGAGTTCTCCCCGGTGAATGAGAGGGTCGCGTCCCTCCGCCTCCGGGTGGGGGACAAGTCTCTCACTGTTGTGACGGCCTACGGGCCTAACAGCAGTGCAGAGTACCCGGCCTTCTTGGAGTCCTTGGGAGGGGTACTGGACGGTGCACCGCCCGGGGACTCCGTTATTCTCCTGGGGGACTTCAACGCCCATGTGGGAAACGCCAGTGACACTTGGAGAGGGGTGATCGGGAAGAGCGGCCCCCCTGATCTGAACCCGAGCGGTGTTCAGTTGTTGGACTTCTGTGCCAGTCACAGTTTGTCCATCACGAACACCATGTTCGAGCACAAGGGTGTCCACCAGTGCACGTGGCACCAGGACACCCTAGGCCGGAGGTCGATGATCGACTTTGTTGTCGTATCATCTGACCTTCGACCGCGTGTCTCGGACACTCGGGTAAAGAGAGGGGCGGAGCTGTCAACCGATCATCACCTGGTCGTGAGTTGGATCCGCTGGCAGGGGAAGAAGCCGGTCAGACCTGGCAGACCCAAGCGTATAGTGAGGGTCTGCTGGGAACGTCTCGCTGAGCCCCCTGTCAGACGGACTTTCAACTCACACCTCCGGGAGGGTTTCTCCCAGGTCCCGGTGGAGGAGGGGGACATGGAGTCCGAGTGGACCATGTTCTCTGCCTCAATCGCCGATGCGGCGGCCCGTAGCTGTGGTCGCAAGGTCTCTGGTGCTGGTCCCGGCGGCAACCCCCGAACCCGGTGGTGGACACCGGCAGTAAGGGAAGCTGTCAGGCTGAAGAAGGAGTCCTATCGAGCCATGATGGTTCGGGGGACTCCTGAGGCAGCTGTCCAGTACCGGCAGGCCAAGCGTGCCGCGGCCCGGGCTGTTGCAGAGGCAAAAACCCGGGACTGGGAGGAGTTCGGAGAGTCCATGGAGCATGACTATCGGTCGGCCTCAAAGAAATTCTGGCAAACCGTCCGGCGCCTCAGGAGGGGGAAGCAGTTCTTTGCCAACACCATGTACGGTGCGGGTGGAGAGCTGCTGACCTCGACGGGGGATATTGTCGGGCGGTGGAAGGAATACTTTGAGGTTCTCCTCAATCCCCCCGTCACGTCCTCTGTCTCAGAGGCAGAGGCTGAGGATGCTGGGGCGGATACATCCATCTCCCTGGCTGAGGTCACCAAGGTGGTTGGCAGCCTCCATGGTGGCAAGGCTCCGGGTGTGGATGAGATCCGCCCTGATTATCTAAAGTCTCTGGATGTTGTAGGACTGTCTTGGCTGACACGTCTCTGCAACATCGCGTGGCGATCGGGGGCGGTGCCAATGGAGTGGCAGACCGGGGTGGTGGTCCCTCTCTATAAGAAGGGGGACCGGAGGGTGTGTTCCAATTATCGTGGGATCACACTCCTCAGCCTCCCCGGTAAGGTCTACTCCAAGGTACTGGAGAGGAGGCTACGGCCGATGGTCGAATCTCGGATCCAGGAGGAGCAGTGTGGTTTTCGTCCCGGTCGCGGAACACTGGACCAGCTCTATACTCTCCATCGGATACTCGAGGGTTCATGGGAGTTCGCCCAACCTGTCCACATGTGCTTTGTGGATTTGGAGAAGGCGTTCGACTGTGTTCCCCGGGGTGTCCTTTGGGGGGTTCTCCGGGAGTACGGGGTCGGGGGTCCTCTGCTGAGGGCCATCCGGTCCCTGTATGACCGGAGCCAGAGCTGTGTTCGCATTGCCGGCAGTAAGTCAGACCTGTTCCCGGTGAATGTTGGCCTCCGACAGGGCTGCCCTTTGTCACCGGTTCTGTTCACTGTATTTATGGACAGAATATCTAGGCGCAGCCAGGGGTCGGAGGGGGTCCGGTTCGGGGACCACAGGATTTCATCTCTGCTGTTTGCGGACGATGTTGTCCTGTTGGCTCCAACGAACCAGGACCTGCAGCATTCACTGGGACGGTTTGCAGCCGAGTGTGAAGCGGCTGGGATGAGAATCAGCACCTCCAAATCTGAGGCCATGGTGCTCGACCGGAAAAAGGTGCCCTGCCCTCTTCAGGTGGGTGGAGAGGTCCTTCCTCAAGTGGAGGAGTTCAAGTATCTCGGGGTCTTGTTCACGAGTGAGGGAAGAATGGAGCGTGAGATTGACAGGCGGATCGGTGCAGCGTGCGCAGTGATGCGGTCGCTGTATCGGACCGTTGTGGTAAAGAGGGAGCTGAGCCGAAAGGCAAAGCTCTCGATTTACCGGTCAATCTTCGTTCCCTCCCTCACCTATGGTCATGAGCTTTGGGTAATGACCGAAAGAACGAGATCGCGGATACAAGCGGTCGAAATGAGCTTCCTCCGCAGAGTGGCTGGGCGCTCTCTTAGAGATAGGGTGAGGAGCTCAGTCACACGGGAGGAGCTCGGAGTAGAGCCGCTGCTTCTCCACGTCGAGAGGAACCAGTTGAGGTGGCTCGGGCATCTGTTCCGGATGCCTCCTGGACGCCTCCCTGGGGAGGTGTTCCGGGCACGTCCCACCGGGAGGAGGCCCCGCGGAAGACCTAGGACACGCTGGAGGGACTATGTCTCTCAGCTGGCCTGGGAACGCCTTGGGGTCCCCCCGGACGAGCTGGAGGAAGTGTGTGTGGATAGGGAAGTCTGGGCGTCTCTGCTTAGACTGCTGCCCCCGCGACCCGGCAACGGATAAAGCGGAAGAAAATGGATGGATGGATGGATCTACACAATCACACTCAGTCTACACAATCACATTCAGTCTACACAATCACATTCAGTCTACACACTCCACACTCAGTCTACACAATCACACTCAGTCTACACTACATAATCACACTCAGTCTACACAATCACACTCAGTCTACACACTCCACACTCAGTCTACACTACACAATCACATTCAGTCTACACAATCACACTCAGTCTACACACTCCACACTCAGTCTACACACTCCACACTCAGTCTACACACTCCACACTCAGTCTACACAATCACATTCAGTCTACACAATCACACTCAGTCTACACTACACAATCACATTCAGTCTACACAATCACACTCAGTCTACACTACACAATCACACTCAGTCTACACACTCCACACTCAGTCTACACAATCACACTCAGTCTACACAATCACACTCAGTCTACACAATCACATTCAGTCTACACAATCACATTCAGTCTACACACTCCACACTCAGTCTACACAATCACACTCAGTCTACACTACACAATCACACTCAGTCTACACACTCCACACTCAGTCTACACTACACAATCACATTCAGTCTACACAATCACACTCAGTCTACACACTCCACACTCAGTCTACACTACACAATCATATTCAGTCTGCACAATCACATTCAGTCTACACAATCATATTCAGTCTACACAATCACACTCAGTCTACACAATCACATTCAGTCTACACTACACAATCAAATTCAGTCTACACAATCACATTCAGTCTACACAATCATATTCACTCTACACAATCACACTCAGTCTACACA